GCACCAGGGGCGAGGAGGGCGGGGGCGATGCATCCACTTTTATTTTACGATTGCGATCCCTTGACTGGAAAACGAGCTGTTTCAACGAGAAACGACAATCCGCGAGCGAATATGCGGTGACTTATCGCCGCACTTTTCTCCGATTGTAATTCGTACGGATAATTTGGCGATTAAACGAGCCGCGACTGTTCAGGCTCGAAACGCGCGGATTAAGCGCGGAGGCGCGATGGCGCTCCCTATTATCCTCCCGATATGGACGTGCATTAACCCGCTTTGACCCCATATTGCCCATTCGGACTCGCGTGCTCTCGCGCCATCATCGTCGCATCGCGCGCCTCCTCTCCGCCGGTGAAACGGGGAAAATAAAGACCCGCCGCGATAGACGGAGAAGAGGAGTCGAGGACGAAAGATTCATAATTCCCCCGTGGCAGCCGCAATTACTTTTCGCGTTTATCTTCTCCCACTCGTCGCACGATCCATACAATCCGCCGCGGCAAACAGAAAAAAGCCCACGTAACGCGCCTAACGTTTGAATGACGTTTCCAAGCCAAATGACGTTAGAGTGCGCCGCGATGATGTTTGGCCGCGGCAAATTCTGAGCGGGGAAGGCAAATACGCACGCAGTCGCGCACATTTTGCGCGACTTTATCGGATTAATAAACGCATCCGCGCGCTCTCAAAATGTAAACGCCTAACGGACGCGATAGCGCTAACAACAGCGGGGAACTTCATTACGCTTGTCAAGTGATTAAATGGGACCCATAAGTGCGCGCGGCTATTGCCCATACTCGATATAGCGAGCCGCGCTGTAACGGATGTAGCTATATACGTCGCGCGAGCATTACTATTATACGAGACGCGTTGTAACGAGGAGGCCCGGCCTATGCAGCGAGCATGTCTGATGAGAGCGTTATTATGGCCCCCGTGATTATTGATGAGCCCGAGTATCAACACGTGTTTGATCAGTGGCTTCGTGCGCGAGATATTCTCTCTGCTGATTTATTCGTCGCGTTCACGTGGATTCGGTCCTCGGGGAGGCGATATTTTCATTCCGTTATTAAGAGAAGTGCGCACGCGCGAGCGAGCGAGCGAGCGAGCGAGCGAGCAGGACAGGGAAGCGGAGGTACTCGTTGGATTTCTTGGAGCGAAATTCCACTCGGAAGGTAGGATGTCATTCGAATTCGAGTATGACTTTCCAGTATCGTACAGGGCGAGTTCTCTTCGCTCTGAATGGTTGGGTAAATATTTTCGGAGTCGGAATTGAGGAGCGAATCCGCGCGGTATGTACTCGAGTACCGTCATCGGGACAAATTTGCTGTAATCGATAGAAGCGTTCGCTTCGCGTCGGGGAGTCCATTTGAAGTTTCGCGGTTAACACGAAACTACGAAACCGACGATTAACGCGGTATTTCCAGCGGAGCGCTCGAAACGACAGGTTTTTGGAGAAGCATAAATGATGCGCGAGGACGAATGATTGCTCGCTGCTTCTTCCTCGTTTCGTTCAACCTCGATGAAATACGCGGAATACGTCGGGATGAATTCTTCGAAGAAATTACAAGTCGGTTAAAATCGTAGTTGGTATCGCGTTGGTATAATTGAAAAAAGAGGGACGCTCGCTAAACGACCGTGTAATTAGGCACAAAGCGTTCCTAGCGGTTCGCGATATAAAGTGAAATATCGCGCGAACTCTGAGCAACAGTCGCGGCTATTTAAATGAGGCGGTGTCGCACTGCGCACTTGTGGTATTCTTTTAAGTCAGTTGTCTCGCGCGAAATGAATTTCACTCTAGGCTAGGCTGCATACCAATTGAAATGTTGCTTAAGCGCTCGCGCAATTAGAACAAATTTTTCGAAAGTTGGGATATTTGAGATTGGCTTCGACATTTCGAACACGCGTCCTTACGCTGCATTAAAGAAAGTTTCCGTTTCATTTTTAATTAGAACTCTTCCTCAAAGTGTACTTGAGATTTTCATGAAAACTGCTACGACAGGAAAGACCGGCGTGCAGCCGGCATTGTGAAAGTCGAAATTATTAATCATTCAAATTTTTAAGTGCGGCCGCAAAGATTCACAATTTATGACAATAGTCCGAGGATGAAAATCTGAAAGAAATAACAGTCGAACGCAAAGAAGTCGGGAAATTTAATGGGCGGAATTTAATAGACGCGCGTCGGAATGAGTAACTTTTACATATGGAAGTTGTTGCATAATCGAAATAATTCCAACCAGAGTTAGCGAACGAACAAGAGTTAACTTATTGCAACTTTTTGCAAACAAAACTCAAACATTTTCCACATCTTTGTCCGACAAGATGTTAGTAGAGCACACTTTAAAATATCATTATATATTTTAGCTGGGAATTACCCTTGATTTTTCTTTTTTCTTTTCGTTTTATCGTGTCTCTTTTTCTCGAGAATATTATCGCGAAACAATTACCCCTTGAGAGAGAAATTTGTAATTTCGTTCTCGATACGACGGGCTTGAAACTTGAAAGTAGTTTTAACGGTACCTTCGATATGTCTCTCTATGTCATCTCGTCGACGATGCGAGATTCGAGAAGCGGACGCGACGGACGATGGAGCGCGTATTCCGCCCGCCCGTCGCGGCGTGTCAAAATGATTTTCAATTTAATACGGGGGACCACTCGAAGGCGATAATGTGCCGCTATTTTACCGTCTGCAGACGACACGATTGGACGTGGCGCATACAGCCGAGTGGCGTCGCCGCCGAGTGAGAACACACAATAGAGTCCTCGATGCTCCGCACAATTGAGAATGATTCGCAAACACAGGTATACCAGACCGCGTACACAATGGTGAACTTGAACAGTCCCAAGTTACGTAGCTAGAGGATGCGCATCTGTGTGTATGCGTGCGTTGCGTACGAGCGCGTGTGTGAGCGCGCGAGCTTTATGGAGGGGAAAAAGGCGTAATCGAATCCCTATATATATATATGTCTCCGTTGCAATATATATATATATATTGCAACGGAGACGGCTAAATCCCGAGCAACTTGTTCAACTCGATCAAAATTCACCGCGCTTCGCTCTCAGAGCAATGCGACGCACGAACGCGCGAAGATACGCAGGTTTCCACCGCGTGCATTTGTGAAATAGACAAGGTAAATCCATCGATGTCGCGATGATAAACGCGAAGCGAGCGAAGCACATCCTCACCTCGGTGATGCACGAGCAACTCGCGGGAGCTGCTTTCGATTTCATTCACTCCAAACTGTGTGTATTGACTGAATCGAGAAGTTCCGTGCGATTTTTCGGGAAAATTCGAATTTACATTGCGCCAAATTGCGCGGGGGGAACAAATTATTCATCAGGCGATCAGCCCACCGTTGTTTGCGATTCTTCGCTGCAACGTGCTTCGGCAATCTCGGTATCATATCTCGACTCGATATCAAAAGCTTGCGCAAGCTCTCGTCAGATTATTAATAATTCTATACTGAGTCGGAAAATGATTTTACGTCGAAATACATTTAATTACGGAGCATCGAGCTCCGTGCACCGCTCGATTTCGTTGTCATTGACAAGAGAAGCATGCCTCAGAATCCGGCGAACTTTCGCGATAAACTTGCCAATAAAATTGTCAATAAAATTGTCGCTCCTCTCCGGAACTTTATCTGGAATGATCGATTACAACGCATCTGCGGGAATTTTCCTACGGAACTACCGCTCTTTCTGCCGACCACGGTGCACCTGCTCCGCACCTGCGGCGCGTGGAAACTGCCGTCGAGGTAGAACTGATAGAACGAGCTTTTATTGCGACAACAGTCGTGGCACGCCATTAAGGTGTCTAATTCGCGCGAATGACTATATGCGCAGAGGTGTCGAGCGCGAACCAACACTTTAATCCCAAGCGACACATCGCGACTCGCAGTGACGATCGAACGTGAAACACAAAGGACTCCCGATGATCCCGCGACGAGCGTAATCTCCATCGCAAAGAGTGTCGAGTGATGTTCGATAAGTTTACAATGGATTCTGACGAGAAACTCGAAGCCGATAATCCCATAGTCCCGGGCACAGGTTCGTTTCTTTGGTTTTTTGCGACTTGTCAAGGGAAAAATGATCAAGGTGTACATTATTGAGCAAAGTTATGCCCGACTATGAAAGTATCGACTTTCAATTGCTCGCAAAAATCCTTACGAACTGACAAAACGACCCGATATATCCGACATCACGCTGGGATATTCACGCGGCCGGGGGCTCGTACGCGCGCTATCTGCGAATTAGACAATACATAATGTATAATGCAGCCCGTAACGCTCGCGGATAGCTGAGCTGGCGAACGTTGTAAAATCGCGAATTTCGTGAACTCCGACCTTCCGGCGTGTCGCTGCAATATTCATATCGAAATCAAGAGTATCCCGTATGTGTATGGAACACGCAGCGATCGTTTCGCCGAGCTCGCGCGCGATTGGGCCGGGATTCAGGAGCGCCGTGCGGATGAGAGAGAGAGAGAGAGAGAGAGAAAGAGAGAGAGAGGGAGAAAGAGAGAAACTTGGCTACAGGTGGTCTTGGGCGAATCAATATGGTACGCGTGTTTGGGTGAATATACGAATAAAACGTCGGCGTTCCTCACGGACAAACGAGCGTTACGATCTCGAGGAAGACGCCGACGATGACGGTTGCGCCACGCGGCGACTATACTCCGGGCTCGCGCGATCGCACGAACCGGGAATGGATTTCGTGTGTACTTCCCGCGGAGGTGGGCGAAACATCTCGAGACGCGTCTCACGACGGCCTCAACCGCAGTCCCGGGGATCTCTCGAGGCTAAATTGGAAAGCTATGTAAGACGGGCCGCCGACCACTCGCGCGAAGCGGACGGCGAACTCGCGACGATGAGCGGCGAGACACGAAGTCGACGAGTACATCGGACAACGAAGGTTGTTGAAACTGCCGAGGAAATTGCGAGCAAGAGACGGGTAGTGAAGAGAGAGAGAGAGAGAGAGAGAGAGAGAGAGAGAGAGAGAGAGAGAGAGAGAGAGAGAGAGAGAGAGATGAAGAGCACGAGAGAGGATACTAGGAAAAGTGGTTCCAGCGAAGGGGAGGAAACAAGGGTTTTTGATTAGACAGACGGTCGTTATTAGATTATGATTAGATAACTCTTTATTATGAAAACGAAATTATAAATTGCGATACCGGATCCGCAGACACGATAACTCGCGTGTAACGTAGGCGCACTCGATGCATCGACGGGCTGACGACGCTCAAATGAAACAACGATTTAGCGGCACACACACATACAGTAGACACGCGAGAAGAAAACAATTATTGCAGTCGCTTGGTCAACTCAAGCTGTCGGAACAATGAACGAGTTGCCGGCTGGAGGCAACCGTTTCCCGCATCAGCCGGACATGTCGCTGTACTCGTCGTCCCCGACGATCTCCCGCGGGTAGCCGATCGCGCAGTAGTGCTGCGGCGACAGCGTCTGGATGTAGGGGATGAGCGGGAAGAGTTTGTAGTGGCCAATACACTCGACGACCCAGTCGATGAGAATCGGCGCCGCCCGGGCGTTCTCGTACCAATATTCTGCGGGCAAAAGTCGAACGCGCGATTTGTCGTCGCTGTCCTCTGTGTATCTCTCGACCCGATCGACGGGTCGGGATCGCCGTACGTTCGATCGAGAAATATCAACGTGTCGCCGGTTGATAAATATCAAACATCCGCGGCTGCAGCGACGTATCTCCAAGGATACGCAGCGCGTGTTACGTAACGTTACGATCGTCGTGCTTACCGATTGTATTGTCGTCCTGAGTGTCGCCTTGGATCACGACGCCTCTCAAACCTTTCTTCTGGACGGCGAGAGTCTCCATAGAGTCAACCACAGTGGCTCCCGTGGCGCGTAACAAGTCCTAGAACCAAAGATATCCTTAAGATGGCTTTGGCCGGGGTCCAACTTGAGAGACGGCTGGTGACGGCGGCGGCGGCGGCGGCGGCGGTGGTGATTGTACGAAAAGAAAAGAGCGTGAATAGAAATTCTCCGTCGGCGGCGAATCGGTTTCAACACATTGAACACCGTGATTGGCGTTGTGAAGATCGCCGTGTCTCATAAAGTATCACTAGGAAAATCGGTTACACGCGTCGGACAAAAAGCCGACCACGAAACATACGCGTCTCGAGTCACTCTCTATTTGCTGTATTTCTGGCAATTCGGTTAAACTTTTGGCACAATCGACGTCAATTGACGCTAATTGGGGTTATCAAAATAAATTGATTATGCGATCAACAAAAAAAGAGAGAGAGAGAGAGAGAGAGAGAGAGAGAGAGAAACCAAGGAACAAGAGGGAAACACGCGTCTGAAATTTCCTTTCTTTATCTTCCGCCTTTACCTTCCGCCTCCGCTAATCCTCGCGTCAAGCAAACTTCGCCTAATCAACGCGGGAACCCTCGCGTCTTGAATGAAAACCTTCCCCGCGACCACCCGCTTCTCTCTCCCGGGCGGCCCAGCAAAGCTCTGTCAAGGAGAACACGGCAGCAAAGCCAAAGCAACCGACCTGATATTGGCTCAACGAGACGTTGTCGTACGGGCCGACGCACAAGAACGTGAAGTCCTGGAAGAGGCCCTTGTCGCTCAGCCGCGAATTCCGGGGCCCGGGTCCGTTGACGTCGGCACTCTGCGTAGTCGCCTCGTAAGGGGCCTCAGGCAGCAGCTTGCGGCCGGCAGTGGCGCAGTCCTCGATCCACTTGTAGCTGACGACCCATTTGCGATGTGCGATGCCCTGCAAGTACTTGAGCGTGCTCTTGGCCATGTTCTCCGCGCCGCTGGTGTTGACGATCACGTGTGTGACGTCCGGGTCGAACTGTCTCGCGTAATCAGCGTCGTGCAGCCGCGCGAACTTCTGCACGCTCGCGATCTGAGTCGTCGTCAAGCCGCTGCACACGAAGCGCAGCCTGCCCAGGTCGGACCGCCGATGCGCGTTCTTTCCCGGTCGAGCTGTCGTGTTGTCGACCTTCGTCGTGTTGCCGTCCGCCGTCCGCTTGGTCAACGATGACGCGGCGCCGCTCGTCGTCGCGCGTTGCTGCTTGTTGAGCTGCCGCCCTTTGCCGGCCGTCGTGGACGCGCCAGCCTTGCGACAGCTATCCGTCGTCGTCGTCGTCGTCGTGGTGACGGCGGGGACGGTGATGGAGCTGGACGTCACCTTCGGTGTGCTTTGATAAAGCGGATACATGAGATGAGTCTGGCAGTGAGGCGTGTTCGCCTGCTCGCTCCTCGACGTCGGTCTTTGGCGCGGGGACGTGGTCGAGCTGGGGATCGGCGACAGGTACAGGGCCGTTAGATTTCGCCGCGTACTCGAGCCGCCGGATGTTTTGCCGCTGCTGTAAAAGTCGAGACGATGCATCTCTCGCAGCGTCACGGCACGTCTGAGACGAGCGCGAGCACGCGGAAGCACTGCCAGCTTTGCGATCCCGAGCGACGGCTTCCGTTCGCCGACGTCGTTGTCGCGGGAAGAGAATCGGCTGGTAAGATTAACGCGAGCCCGAGGAGGAATTATAAGATTGAGGAGATCGCGCGTGACTCGAGCGCTCGAGCCAGCGACGCCATTCCGCGTCAGTGTAATCTTCGGCATAGAAGTGTGATTTATCGGGAGAGCTTAAAATTCAAGCAAGCTCCGTCGTTTCGTACATCTGCGCCGCGGTGGTAACGGCTGTTCGCTTCTTTCGACATTTCAGCAATAATGAGTGTTCTCCATTTAGTGAGACAGCAGTCGACGCAAGCATCGTCCTGTTCGTCGTCGTTACTCATTGAATATGGAACGGAGACGGAACGACGCTTGTGTCGACTTGTGTTAACAAATGTTCCATTTGCGGAGCATCCGACATATTTCCGAATATGTCGGAGGACGACGTCGGGACCTCACGCTTGTCGCACAAAACCATCTATAATATTTGGAATCCTTCGATTCCTCTCATCGGAGTCCGTCGATCTTCTCTTCATGTTCTCTCCACCGGCAACGTGCTCCTTACGAGCATTTTCTCTCGCGCGCTTCACAATTCTTCGACCTCATCCTCATACCTTTACCTTTTCACCGACTCTGCGACTCTCTCCTCTTTCTCTCTCTCTCTCTTCCGATTGCTTCGCGATACGCTGTATGCGGTTCTAGCCGAAGCGAAGCTAAATCGAAAGAGGAGCTGGACGCGATTTCGGCAGTTTGAATTGCATGCAACGGTATTTACGTACGACATGTGCGCGAGCATATCATCCGAGCGGCAAACACGCGTAAGCACATGCATGAGGGATGCGCTATTAGGAGTTTGTGAGGTACTTACTTCCTCATCTTCGTCTCAGGAGTGTTCTCCACAATGTCGTCTTCGTCGGCGGAGTGTTCCTGCGTTTAAAAGTTCCATATGAACCTCGCTAAGTCTGTTGAATTTTCTCCCCTACTTCTCTCCGAGAGTGTCTTGTTATCGTTCTCTCTCTCTCTCTCTCTCTCTCTCTCTCTCTCTCTCTCTCTCTCTCTCTCTCTCTCTCTCTCTCTCTCTCTCTCTCTCTCTCTCTCTCTCTCTCTCTCTCTCGTTCCCCCTTCTTTTGTCTCGAAAAGTCCGTTTCTTTCCGTATCTCACGTCAAAGGAACAAAGTGTGTGCACCGTAATTACGAATAACGAAAAGTAACGTTTAAACGAACAGTTGTGACGTGCAGTTTGCAGCGCAAGTTTGTGAAGGGCGGGATGATACGCGCATAAAACTAGCTACTTCATGATCCATTCGCCGCTATTCCTACGCTTCTATCGTTGCACATACTCGCGCGAAAAGGATCGTAAAGAAAGCGGAGATCGTAAAGGGTGTTTCGTGCTCGACACAAGTTTGATCAAATATAAAAGGCAACGCGCGCGTCGCGCCTTTAATATCGGCGATGGATCGCAACTCCACGCGAACGTCCGAAAAGGTTAATTACGAGAGAGTTGTAATTATCTCGGCGAGAGACCGGAGGAGCTGCTCTCCGAAGGGAATCCGCTCGCGATGCGGTTTATGCCGTGGCGTTCTCGCGGCACAGGAACGGGACTCGCACAGGCTGACAGGATGTAAATTCAATTCGTCCTGTCTGTCCCGCTGTTTCTTTTTCCCTTCCTTCTTTCTCGCGCGTCTTCCGATAAGAATTTCAAATAAAACGACCGGGAAAATATCCCCGCAGCCAATGAGAAAAGTAATTCCGATTGCCGGAGGCATAGATAAATACGAATAATGCATAAAAATCGGTCGTTTAATCTTCACGGTTGAAAGCGATGATAAGCTATGATACTCTGAACGTTATCCGATTTAACAGCGCCAGGATTGCTTATAATTAATTTCGCGTATCTCTCTCCAAAGGGATATTGAAGAGTCATGAATAGAGATTAAAATTGAAATTACGTTTAAATCGTTTACAACTAATTTCACATCAGATTCTCCTGGGGGGGGAGGAGGGGGGAGGGGGGATAGCAAGCATTCGCGGGCAAATAAAAATCGGAATCGCATCCAGATCGCTCATGATCAATTTCACATCCGACTCTCTAGAGGACTCGCGAGCATCCCGCGGAAGAGAAAATTGTGAACGAAAACTTGCAGAGTCACTACGCCGAATTATAGAATCGCACTTACCCCCGACGTCGCGTTCCTCTTCCTCTTCTTCGGGGTGCGTTGCTCCTCTCGAAGCGGATCGTTCCGCGCACTCGTCCTCTCCGTCTTCGTCCCTACCCGGCCGGGCGCGCCGCCGAACAGATCCTCCTCGATCATCCTTAGTCGCGCCTGCTGCAGCGTGATGTTCATGAGAGTGTCGTACTCGGAGGAGGAGAGATCCTTCGCGCTCATCTCGGAGTCGCTCGCTCGGTGCCGACTCGCTGGGGCCGCTGGAACGTTAATTTCCCTCTCCTTCCGCGGCGTTCTCTCCGTCACCGCGGCGCGCTCAAAGAAGCTACATTTCTCCTGCGACGCACTTTTCTTCAACGCCGTCTTGTTGTCGACCGCGTCCGGGCTCTTGGCGCTAACATTTTTCTTGTCCTTCCGCTCCTCCTCCGCCGCGTGATCCGCGTGTTTCCTTTGGCAGTGAGTGTTCTCCTTGTCGGAATTTGCCGAGGTTTTACTCGAGTGTGTTCTCTTGACGTTTTTGCCGGCGGTGTAACCGCTGCACTCGAAGATGTCGGCGGTGGACGACGCGGCTATCATCTGGCCGTGCCGTGCGACTGCGTCGCGCGACTCATTCGTCATCGCTGGACAGCTCGACATGTTCTGTTCCGTCAGCATGCGATTGAGATTGCGATCGGAATTACGGCGAGCCGGCAGCTCGCTACAGGCTATCATGTCCTCGCTCTGTGGCAGCTCGACGTTCGCGATGATCTCGTCGAAATTGTCCTGCAGCAAGTTGCTTCCCGGCTCGTTCTTACCCCTTTGACTACTCGCCCCTTCGTCGTCGTCGTCGCCGTCGTCGTCGTCGTTATTGTTCCGTGAGGCGACACCTGTCGACCGACGCGCGCCGTGATTGCTCTTCGGCGACCGGTCGATCTCCAGCACTCGGTTGATGATGTCGTCGTTGAACGGATCCATGGAACTCTGCGACTTCCGGCTCTTGCTCGACTTGTCATTCATATGACACGCGAGTTGATGTAGGCCCTGTGAATTGAACACGCTGTTGCTCTCGAAGAATGGGTCCGATTCGCTCGTCACGGTGCTCTTGCTCGACTTGGCGCGTCTCTGGCCCTCGGACGAATTAGTCGAGAGAGAGCGACAGTGGCTCGTCGTCGTCTCTTCGGAAGTGAGTCTCGTCCGCTTTGAAGTGCCCTGCGCGACCCTCGTCCCCTCGGCCGGTCTCTTTTGCCCCGCGCTGTGCTCGCTGTTCCATTTGTCGACTATACTCCGAATACGGAGGTCCTCGTCCGAAGCCTCCCTCGCCGATCTCCTCGTGGGTGTGCTCACGATCGACGCGTTTCTCTGGTCGTATCGATCGCCGCTCGTGTTTCTTCACAGAGAACACGGGTAAGCGTACAAGTACAAAATGAAAAATTGAAGAACAAAAGCCGGAAAAAATACATCGGGCTCCCAAGCGACACGACAAAAGGAGAAAGAGAAAGGTCCTTCTGCGATTAAACGCGCCGCGGTTCTGTCTCTATCGCGTCGCCCACCAAAGAGTAAAGAGTTTTTTTCAAAAAAGAATAACCACAGAGGAAAGAAGGGACAGGGCGATAAAACAGGATGTGCAGCGGTAATTAGTCAGAATTAAGCGAGCGGGGCAAATGAAACGCGCGCGCGCAAGCAACAACGCGGGTAGACACGGTCTTTAGTCGCGGATTAGAAATCAACGAGGGTGAAAATCTGCAGCAGAAATCGCACATACCTGTGAGACTTGGTCGCGACGCACGTCCACGACTCCAACTCCGAATCCGAGTCCGAGATTGAGACTATCCTCCTGAACTTTCTCTCGTGCGCTTGTCTCGTAGGGTTGTCAGGCTCCAAGACCATGTCGTCGACTCGATTGCGCGACGAGCTCAAGCGACGCCTCTTGTCGATCGAGCTCGTCTTCTCTTGGCTCTTGCATGTCTTCTTGTTGGACAGCTTCACCGTGCATAGACTATTTATGCTGGCCACCGAGTCGCTGGAGTCGTCTTCGACGTCGTCGACGTCGCTTTTCCCTTCGAGTTTCTCGTCCTCAGAGATACGTCTGCTTCTCTTCTTCGTGTTCGCTGTTGGTTGGAATTCGGAGCTTCCAGAGGAAGGCCCGAACTCGTCGGTGAGCCATTGCGAGTCTTTCGTCTCGGCCAGGTTCTTGCTGTTTTTGATGGTAGCCGGGCCTTTTTTCTTCTCGAATTCGGATTCTACCGGTGGTAGAACTCGCGTGGAAGTCGCGAGTTCAGACTGACCGTGTTGACTCATCGGCGAGTCTATGGTGAGAAACTTGAGCTGCGAGTCCTTGTCCGGTGACAATAGCTTGATGGAGTTGCTTGTAACGTTCTTCGTCGCGCTTCGGTCCGCGCGAGGTGTACGAGGCGATCGTACAGCTTCTTCCGCGACCGGTGGTTTGCTCGCGCTCGGTGAGTTTCCTTGATCAACCGTGCGATCAACCGTGCAACTCGCGTGTCTCTTCGGTGTCGAGCTCGCCGAGACTCCGCGGCTGAGCCTCGTAACCTCCAAGACGGTGTTCGTGTTCGAGACCGATTTGTCCATGTAGCGAACGTCCTCCAGCATGACGCCGCCCGTGGAGTTCTGCGAATCGTTCGAAGAAGCGGGCGAAGACGTGAAATTGTGTGGAGGCTTTGTCATCTCGCTCTTGCTGATCGACTGCTGCATGTTGTATGCCGTGCTCACTCGGATCTTCCCCGGTAAACGTTGCTCGTGTTTTAGCACGCCCCGATAATAATACTTAATGTCCCGCCGTCTGACCAGCGTGCCTAACTGCGTGAACTTTATGGGAAAACCATATTCTTGGTTCTTTCGCGTCCGATTAATGTCTCTCGACTTTCTCGACCTCGTGGAGTCTAACGTGAGTCTTGACTCGCCTTGGTGAACGGTCCCGCCAACGTGTCCGTTGTTATCCTTCTTTATCACGATTGTGTTCTTCGAGGACGTACCGGCTGTAACCGGTACGTCCTCGATAGCTTGACCGGTTTGCGGAAAATCCTTGTCAATCTGCGAACTCAAGTCGCGTTTGACAATCTCCAGTCGCTCAAAGGTCTGACTGTTCTTCGACATTGATGAATCAACGCTCTTAGGAGCTTTCGAGCTCGAGTCGTTGACCGAGAGCGGAATGTTGCTCGATAACGGCGACTCGATGTTCTTGGAGTATCTCTTCAAGGACAGCCTGGATAACTTGTTCGGTGTCCATGATCGCGACTGAGACGTGACTGCTACTTCTGTTTCTCTCGGAGTCGTTGCTGCTGTCGTTCGTTCGGTCGTCGGCAAGCACGTAGGGCTCATCAACTTGCTGACGGAAGTTCGCGAGTCGCTCACTCTGTTTTTTAGCACGGATTCGTTGAGTTTTTCCGGCGTCAGTATGATCAATCTTTGCTGATGCGACGACGGCGAATCGACGTACGGCTCCATCATGATCCTCGTGTCCTCCTCTTGCTCCTCGTCTTTCTTCTGCTTGAGCTGATGCTTTCGCTTCGAAACGTTCGCGTCGTTGCCCGTCAGCCCGTCAGAATCTGCTTCGAAGCCGATAATCTCATTCATTTGACGATTGTTGAGATTTTTTATACGCGTCTGCTCACCTTCCGCCAGCGTGATGAACGATGTCTCCGAGTGATAACTAGTTTCGAGCATCGAAGAGTTGGTTTTGTCATTGGCGAACGATTTCTCCCGATTGCGAGCTGGTCTTTCACTCACTGATGCTCTCTGTGTTATTTTTACAACCGATAAGTCCGGCTTATTATCAGTCACGTCCTGCTGCCAACCGGTCGACTCCCGCTGCTGATTAGATACATTCATTTCATTGTTGATCGTGTCGTCATACGTCGCGCTCTTATTGAGTGACTCGTATTTGCTACTCGGTGACAGCATAACGTCTTCTATTATGCGAGGGATTTTCTTATTCCTCTTCAGACGCTTCTCGATGCTCTCCATACTCTTGTCAACACTCTTCTCGCTATCCTTGTCAACACTCTTCTCGCTATCCTTGTCAATACTCTTCTCGCTACTCTTCTCGATACTCTTTTCGGTACTCACACTCAACTTCTTCATCTTCTTTTTCTTCCCGCGCATCTCCTTGCCGACCTCCATCACACGAGTCCAAGTATCCACAGAGGGAGGCCTATCAACGATCGCGGGCGCGCTCGCCGTCGCCAGCGCTGACGAAGACGAATCCTCCCGGTGAATGTCGACGCGGTCCTCGACGTTCGATTTCCCAGCGCTCGCGGACCTCTTGCGATCCTTCGAACGTGTCTTAGCATGGATCGCATTGTACTTTAAATTACTTGCGTTAGGATCGTTGTTCTTTACGTCATTACCGGATTGCCGCCTCTTCTTCGCGCCTTTATTCGCTCGGGACATGTTCTCCTTGTTCGGACGCGTCTCATCTTCCGCATTGCCCTCGATATTAATATCAGACTCTTCGATGAACGAGTGTATCCACGTACGAACCTTAGCCTCCGACGTATCGTAACGCACATCATCCTCGTCGATGGGAAGGACGGTCGGGGTTGATGAAGTTGAATCGGACTGTCGGATCAATGAGTCCGTGTCATATCGTGAATTATCGCAGTCAGTTCTCCGGCTTGACGACGGCCTGTCTGTCTTAGAGGCACTGTGGTCACTGCGAATCGACTGTCTCCTTGTCGTTTTCCTCTTGCGGGAGACCTTAGACTGACTACTACCCGAATTCGAGCAGCTTTCTCTCGTGTCGCGCGGCTGCTTCAAGTGCGACTGTACTGTAACACGGAGACCGCTTTATCGCCCCATGGTCGACGTTCTTTAAGTCGAGTGACGTCGATAAAAGAACTATTTTAAGTATTACTTAAGATTACTAAGACACAAGAACATCTTCTTTGTGCTATCTCAGATGCGAGATATCATTTTTATGAGAAAGAGGGTGTTTAATAACGTTTCTGGGGGGGGGGGGAAATAAATCCAAAGCACTCTAATCATATACTTTTATTAGCCTGGCATATAATCAAAGTTGCATATAATATGTCGGGGATCTCGGCAATTATTAATCACATACTCCCTCGCTAATGATACAGACCTATGAGAATAAAAATTTCCAGGAAACTACGATTATAACATTTATAAAAAAAGCGCTAACAAATCCCACCTTGCGATGTAATTATCTTTATTATATTAATAAATGCGAAAAATTAAATTTAAAAAATGTTCTAGTCTTAATAAAGATAAAGCAATCTTGCGTGGGTGATGTAACACTTTCATGACAGATCGTGACGTTAATGCCGCGTACATCAGCCCATCGTACGGTCAGATATGAGTGATCATCTGGAGTTGCGCGCTTTCTCGAGGAACAATGCATTTGTCTGTCTCGTATGGACTATTTTTGACGATTGATTTGCAGACAAACAAACATATTTCGATTCACATAGAAATCTCTTGGACTTTGTCGACGAGAGCAGAAATAATAAATAATAAATGTCGCTATAGAACAGAATTATGAAAGAATGGAGGAAAATTCGACCGTGTCACTGATTTTTGGTTTTTCTTTATCTTGGATCTAAGTACTAAATGTAAACTTGAGAAAAATCTCTATAGGAAGTTTTCGACTCAGCCAATCGCGCGTTCTTACGTAGTTCTTAGTGTCGAGCAAGACTTTAAGCGGCTCAACGTTCAAACGAGCGCGATAGACGCTTAGATAATTCTTAATTTTCAATAATCCCATGCGATAAGATACGACTTAATAGTAATGGAGAACTTGTAATCGTTTCCTTTTTCTAAACTCAATCGAATCGTGACAAAGTGTGGCTGATTTATCGGGCACACACTGTGCGTCAGAAGCAGCATCGCGGGGGAAAAAATTTTACGGTAAACGCGCGGCTGAAATATTTAACGCGAGATACCGCACGGCGCCGGAAAGATACGTGATACCCAAACTGCCGGGGTCTCGTAAAACATTGAGCTTTCTCTAAAACGTACAGCGTGAATCGAGGCACCCCCAGTGTATCGAGAATTCAATTTTTCAAGCCTGCCGGCCACGAAGGCCCACCGCGCGGGATGTAATGCTGATCTCACTTAATGTACTTTTACGGCGCGGGCGTCTACCGCACTGCGCTCTTAACTTCCACTCACAGCTGAATAAGACAATAGCGGATCGCGATCGATAGCCCCGAGATATCATGGCCATTATCGGAAGCTCGCGGCAATAATTCTCAATATCGTGGCATTCGGCTGGTGCAACAGCCATTCCCCAGGGAAGCTGAAGCTATATCTCTATCGCTAGCTTTGCTCTCTCATTAAGTTCTTATATTTCCAGTGCAATCAGCTAATGATAACTCAGATGAGAATGCTCTAGCTTATATCGTGCAGACACAGGCATTGTTGAAAATCAATGAATCCAAGCGACAGATTGAGACCGAGGGACTTTTTGTTACGGTGTACTTACTGTCAATGTGACTGTCAGTTTGAATGGCATCCACCAGTTTCTGGAACTTGTGGATACACGATTCCAGATGATCATCTTTGAATATACTGCGTCTATTGAGGACCTCCTTGCACAGTGGACAAGGAGCGTTCTTGCGCAAGACCCTTCCTATGCATTTCTGACAGAACGAGTGGTCACATCTTGTTCTGACAGGTGCTGTCATAAGCTGCAGGCTGAAACAACACAAAATGATGGTCATTCACAGATGTAGACTGTAGAGATTGAAATATCAAACAATGTTGAAAAGTTACAAGTAGTCAGTACTACAAAGTTATGTCCCAAAACATGACTTTAGTCTTGCACTTGTTCGCTTTCACATGCAAGAAAGTCCACAAGTGAATCTCATGTGCATTAAATGAAAGAAAGCACTTGTGATTGAGTGAATATCGTATTTCCCCACATGAGATCGACCTGAACCGACAAGCATTTCACCCAATTTGATTGATGCTTACTACAACAACACAGAGAGAGCACTTGCTGCATCACTGGAATCCTAACCTATAAACTGCGCCAACCATTGCGCACCAGAGCAGCTGATTAATCGCGTCTGTATGTCACACGAGCCGACTCGACAGGGCTCTGATGGTGCTCTAATTACGGGCACGCACATATTTACCGCGAACTTACCATATCGCGCATTCCAAACATTTCTGTATGCTGTTTACCGCCTCGGAAAGTCGATCGATGTCGGACATCCAGCTTCGCTGCAGCGTCGTCATTTCGACACACGACAGCTCATCGTCGCGAGACCTCGCGAGCGACGTTCGCGCAACGACGCAATTATCCTTGTGCGTACACAAACCCGCGAATTCCTTCACGACGCTGGACACGCCCGACCGCGGTACTCCTTTCAAATTGACAAAGAAACTGCACTGGAGCGCGGGAGCGCGGAGCGCCACCGGAGATGTCGATCGTCGCGACTCTCTTCCGCGGCGAGATCCGTGGTCGAGTGCAAATCCGTTTATTTGAATGCCTAGTCCGAAGCAACTCAATGGCGCGTACGGTATTCGTACGATAATCGCGAACGCTCGAGAGAGATGAGAGCTCGCCGGGTAACGGAGCGTCCATCGACGCTATCGGCGAAACGCCGGCATTTAGATCGTATCTGCAGTTATTTATTCGTCGCAAATTCGCCGAGACCACAGTCTCGTTACGACATAAACGAGGAACAAACGGGCTACCGAATCGCGCGCACGCGCGAACGAAGCTCGACGAATTTGCCTCCCTCTCGAATTGCAATTCTCAACCCGATTGTATTTCACGGTTTGTTACAGAGTTTGTTTCGGAGTGCAATTATGTATTGCCCGTCCGTCATGCAAAAACTCTACCGCGAACTGTCGTCGGCGGTGTTTAGAGTGCGCTACTATACTACTTTCCGTGCACGCGTGCGCGCCCTGCCGTCGCCTGAAGTTGGCGGCGCGGCACGCGCCGCGCGTCACGTGACCAACCGACCGGGCGGGAATATGGCGTACTTTATGGCGCGATTTCACGCGTCCGCGCGATTGTCTCTGCCGGAACTTTGGTACTAAGCGCGCGCGTCAACGATGTCTTCCGTGCTCGATGAAGCGGCTGCCAGGTAATGGCCGAGAGCAATTTCTCCCCGTCGTTACTTCCCTCAGTCTCTCCTTTCGTCCCGTTGATCGGCTCCGATCGCTCCGGTAAGAATAATAACTCAAAGAATGACTCGCGCGGCAAGGCGCCAAGGCAGGAGTATACGTGTAAAATTAACGGTTCGGTATTCTCTCGATGCGGTAGCTGCGCGAGCTGCGAATGACGAAAATGCAAGATACGTTCACCGCTCGGCGAATATGAATATGAATATGCGAATATCTCGCTAGCGGGTCAGGATTTGTTCCGACGCGTTCGTACATAGCGCGAGTCGTTCGCTACTTTATGGAAACGTCCGACTCGTCAGAATTCGCTCGAAACGCACACGTATTTATACATTATTCCGTCGGTCCATCATACAGAGCGGCGGATTTTGCGTGCGTTTCTCGCGAAGGCCGCGTCCCGAATAGGAATAGGTCGTTTCAATAATTCGTAGGGTTAGGCTAGGGTTAGGTTAGGGTTACTGGCGCGAGATTGTGCCGGATGCACTCGAATTTTCTTGGCGCACCGGCAACAACGGGGATGCGAGGTGGATCTCGTAAGTTCTGTGCCTTTGGTTTGCAGGATTCTCGTTGTGCGACGCGCAACATTGGTCAAGGAGGACGGTTCCCACGTTACGAGGCATTAGGACACATCGCTATGTAAGATGATCCCCCACGGCGCGATCTGTTGACGAAGTATGGGTTGGTTCCTTCTTGTCGGTGTTTTGTTACTCTCCTTATGCGGTAAGTGTTAAAAGCCCGATTCTACCTGGATTTTTATATATGAGAACGCGTAATGTCAGGAAATGTTAGTTCACACGCTTCTCACGCTTCACACGGACTGCCGCAAACGTCGCAAGCTAGACGACGAACACGTCGTTCCATGGTCGGCGAACATAGTCTTGCATCGCAATTCGCGAGAAATGGTGTTCAATAATTTTATCGGCGGAATATTCAGGTTTCGGTCCGATAAGCCGCGATCCTGCAAGTCCGGCTGAACTTTACGATTTCTCGGTGGTTTCTCGGCGATTTTTGACGGCGAAACTTGGACATTCCGCAAGCGTTGATAATTAAAATTATTTGCAACAATTGAGATGAGAGAAATTACCGGGTCATCGATAGCAGAGGCGGCGCGCGCGTGCCTCCAATTTTTACAATTCCTGTAATTCCGGTGGCCAGAATACGAAAGGATGAACGCGCGCGTATGCGGTTTCAATAACTCGGCCGACCTCGATAGAAGAGACCGTTGCGGTGTTCGAGTTCAAATTATACTTCGTTTAAAATTATCGATTTTCTATTCGCGGTCAGACTCTCGCTGTTACTCGTCGCGGCGCCGCGCGTCGCGACGAACCGACAAATTTTCATCTGCATATGCAGATTTCTCAATATTATTCGATTCGGTTGCGCGACGTAGCGCGACGTAGAAAAGAGAGACGGGAAGAAAGAGAGAAGTTTCCATCGTAAAATTCGCATTCGCTAAGCCGCTAACACAGTTCTCTATTAAAAGGGTGCTGCGAAAACGTCAATCGCATATTTCGCAAGTCTGAGGGTAAAGAAAACACTTTGTTTCCGTTTTGCGTTTGCTATGTCACACAAACGACTCCTTTCCGGCACACACCTTCTTGACACTGTTGCATGGTTGCGTGACTGGAATGGCGCTTGACGATCGTCAATTTACAATTGTTTTCGCAGGTTATTGTTACAATTACAAGCGCGAGACGCTAGCGTAAATTGTCGAACGGTTAATCGACGAGCCGACTACGAGATATAGGATGAAAAGATGGAATAGGGAACATGTCGGGCAAAGGGGGGATTTTTATTTCGTGTTTCCGCAGCCCAAGGCTCTGTTAACAATTTTTGGTTATTCGTGTTAAACGACAAAGCTGAATATTCATCGTCTATTTTGCATCGTCTATTTTTCGCGAGAGGGAGAATGCGCTTCGCTAAATTCGGCTTGCAAAAAGAACGCAACAGGTTTTGAAACCGGCGGACCACGATACTCTCGTATTCGAAGGTGGAGGATTATTGAACGGGCGGAATTGCTCTCCGACCATTTTCCTTGGACCCGCAAATACTGCTGGCAGCCGCGCGCGCATTTCATGCGGTATTTCGAAAAATTAATATTGAGAGATATTCGGATTCGCTTCTCACGATACTAAGCACTAAGTTTTGCTCGTAAGGTTTCATAGAAACGGACATCCAGCTGTCTGCGGTATTGCGGTAGTCGAAACGCCGCGCAGCCGCATTCGTATATCGCGCACGACTCGGTTCGGCAACAATTAAATATCACGGGGGAAATTTTTAATTAAACGCACAGAACATTGCGGACGTCACGCGTATTCTCCCGCAAATTCGATTGAAAATGCCGCGTTGAGCGAATAAAAAATGGATTACGTTCGTACATTTATGACGAACGAGGGCGAACAATGGCGCTAGTCTTTTGCAGCCGCTTATATTTAATGAATTTATATTAAATCAATATTTAATTGCGGAATTATTATCCGACAATGGCGACAAATAATTATTCACTAATAAGCATGCTATATATGCTATATAGTGGCCGTGCAATTAAAGCCGTGTAATTAACCGTGACAATTATTACACGCGCGCGTGCGCGCAAAGGAATTCAATTTAATCGTAGAATTGTACGGCTTCCACGTATATCTCTCTTTATCATTGTTATGATCGCTGATGATTGCTTGTCACCTGTCCACACCGAATGGAGCCGAAAATACGATTCATCTCTCATCTTTGTAGATCGCCCGTCAATCCATTCGCCGCGTCACCATCAACGTCACCCCCCTCGCGACCCTCCATGACGGACACACATATCCCCTCGAACTCTAAGCACATGCATTAGCCCGTAGGATATCTCCCGATATAGCGGGGAATATCGCGTCTCGCTATTCTCCATCCGCCGATTCTTCACTCCCTCACTTGTCGAAGCGTCTCCATTATCCCCGTGCTCCCCATGTTGTAATCGTATCTGTGACAATCGATCGAAGATCGTGATCTGTGATAATCAGAAGAAACTGCCGGCCGAGTTTATCGAGCGGCAGGCAGTCAATTCTTTTCGACACGTTTTCAACACGTTGGCTGTCCAGCTCCGATCCGAGAGCGAAACTTGTTCATTCGCGGACAAATGCGGGAACGCGGGAAAATTGTGTCCTCCTCTGGAGGGTCGCAAATAAAAATGACGCTCGTTAGAGATATATCTCTTTTTTTACGTTTACTTTATATGGTTTGAATACATCACCGCTGATATTCCGGCTCCTCTGAGTTATTTATGCCAAATGCATAAATGCGCTGGTGACACATCGACAGCGAACGTGTCGAGCGAGCCCCTGTGTGTCACTTACCACACGATCTATCGATCTTTCCGAACATTCTCTCAACTCACAAGTCCCGCGCCCTCTCCGCTCTGGCATCCCGCTTCTTATTCGCTCGTCCACTACGTTTATCCCACAGGGGATCTGTTCCTTCGATATTCATGCACCAAAACGGATAAGCCGGAGTAGCCGGCTTTTCATCGGCTTCTTGATCAACGAAATTTATCGTTTTTTCTAAAAAAAAAAAAAAAAAAGAAAAAAAAACCTGAGCACGTGTCGTTTGAAATCGAATGAGACGCGCGACCCAAGCCGGCGCAGTGGTGATCTCTCGTGAAAAATCACTGTAACGCAATTTCAAGAGATTCTCATAAAAATTTCCATCAAGCACGAGCGCGACGGGCGCGTGTTCCGCCCGTTTCCCATTTTTCCGACGCCGCCAGTGCTGAGTAAGAATATAACGCTGTCGATCGAGCCTCACCGGCTCGGAATAACGAGCACGACCAGCGCGAGATCCCCGGGAAAAGCGTTGGACAAGCGAGGACGAACGGGGGTGGAAGAGCAAAAAGTGTACATATGGATTCAGTCAAAAAGTTCGGTTCGATTTTCCAGTCGAATTTCACTTTACATCGCACCGGACGGATGGAAAGAATAATTCATCAATGAATCATCGTTATCGTTGTCTACATCTAATCGCGTTCGTCACAAAGTCCCGACGGTATTACACCTCCGTCGCGGAAGATGTACACTAAGTTTCAAACCAAGTCAAAGCCTTAACGTTTACCGAGTCAAAACTCCGTTAATCCCTCTAATCGTTCTCATCGTGCCAATACGTGTGCGTATGCATTATGGCTATTGCTTATCCAGCTCAGCTGCCGTCTTGACAGCTTGTCATCGTATATCGTCAATATTATCGTATGTATCATATGATATTCAGGCACGATGAGAGCCGGTTGGAGAAACCTTGAAGTTGTAAATGTAAATGTCAATAATAATATTAAATCGATTGAACAAAAGTAAATGTTAAGACTATTGAAACTTGGGCTGGTATTCTCTCTTCTTATACTTGTCAGACGTTGCACGTGTACTGATAAGAAATCGTCGCAAATTCACCTTTAGATTCTTCCTAGACAATGAGACAAACTCGAGACGATTTGATGTACAAGAACCGGCTGTGAATAGATACCATCCTTAAGCGGGGTCTGCAGTGAAAGTCATAAAATTCTAAATCGTCAGGTCGTAAGAGAATTAATCTCTTGTTAAACAATCGTAGTCGATTATTCTCCTCGCGCTTGAGGAACAATCAATTACGATTGGTCAATGTTCTCTCGACCTTGCAACTTAGGGACTTTACACGACTTTTATTGCAGACCCCACTTTAGAGTGTACCGCGACCGCTTGCCACCGTCGAACAAGTCAGAAAATCGAACCGGGCCGATTTTTCCATCCGATCGACTAGCCGGTGCGAGTCGATGAATCATCTAACCGCGCACACCTCATTTGTCTTTCATGCTGCCTCTTGGTGATCCTGGGACCGACGGGGAAAGCAGCGGGAGCACCGTTGCCGCAGAGCGGTGCTGGAACAGGGACCCACGGTCAGCCGCAAGCCGGTCCACCGAGCACCCCGAGCCCCGGCAGCGGCGGCGGCGGCGGCGGTGGTGCTTTCGGTGGCGGCGGCGGCGGTGTCGGAGGCGGCGGTGCTACCAGTTTTTCGACTGGCGTTGCCGGAGTCCCGTCCTTCGGCCTCGGCGTGACCGGTGGGGCTACCACCGCCGGTGGTGGCTCGACCGGTGGCGGTGCCGGGGGTGGTGCTGCCGCCTCCGGTACCGGCTGGTCCTCGGGACCAGTTCGCCGAGGTCGAGGTTGGCGCGATTGGCGCCGCGGTGACCCCACTCTCATCAAGGGCTTGTGGAAGTCGAAGGGTCCGCTAGGTAAAGATTCACGCCGCTCCGCAGCGTGAGAAACACGTACGATCTGAAGGGAAATATCATTCTTCCTGCTTTGTGCGCGCGGATTCATTTCGCGTAATTGAGACGTGAGACATTTTTCATCGGGCTCTCCTGCGGAGAGCTGCCTGCGGAGAGAATTTATTTACTGGAAATTCAGGGAATTTTATTTAATTTCACGTAAAAATCTCTTGCGTGTCGGCACGCTGCTAGCGACGCTGATTATGGAGTGTTAATTAACGCTCGATACGTGGACGTCGCGAAGTTGAATCGTTTCCCTTCAGATCGATTATTTTCCACGCTGTGCGCTTTCGTTGTGCCGACGAAGCTACATAGACAAAGCTATATGTGTGCGACTTGTTTTCTCGTTCCCTCCTGTTCCCCTTTCGCCGATGCTCAGCATTGCAAGCTCACGAAACATACGATATGGCTTCTGCTCGTTTTCGCGCAACTGTTGATGAAATAGTTATTGTTATTGTTGTTGCAATGTGGCACAAGTGAGCGCGGTCGGCAGCGCGCATGCAGGCTGCATTCCTTTTTCCCCACTGTTCTGTTGTTCACGATCCTGTGACTTCGGCTCGATGTGTCGTTTCTCCTTCTGATAGCGACGCACGAGGGTGTAAATCTATATATATATATATATATACGCGGATGACGGATCGAGTAGTATCACACTTTCCTTCCGCCTTCCTGTTCGCTGCCGCTGCTCGCGCAATCTAAGCCTCCAACGCGGCTATTGGAGTCTGTGGAGTTGCCAGTCACGCATTTAGAGTGATCGATCCTCTGTCATGACTCGGTCATGTAATCAGACCCACCTCATAGTTGTGTGCTAGTGTTATCTGTCTCGTAATTAGTCCTGCATGAAAGCATCCTGAAGCCGCTCGACAGAACGACAATTCCGCTCCTCCTTTCGTTCCGGCCTCGTGATTAATTCGAAATTGGTTGAATTATAGCTGCAGATCGCTGCGAGCACTTAACGCGACGCCATTCATCTCGCGCGTCTCTCTCTCTCTCTCTCTCTCTCTCTCTCTCTCTCTCTCTCTCTCTCTCTCACGCGCGAATCTCTCGTATCGCGAAAGCTTGCGCGTGCCGCACAGGAATCGCATTCACGGATAATGGCCACGCGAGCACAATTTGCACAACATCCTCGTGCCGGAGACCCGTACGAGAGAGCCGGTCAATTCGCCGGATCAACACGGCCGCAATTTGCGAGGGAAACTTTTTAAGTTTTACGACTTTGTGTCGACGGTGTCGTGGGCCGCTGCAGGGGAAATCTCATATCGCGATAGTCGAACCATAAAGCACGTCTCGCGGTATGGCGCCGCAATTTCGCGCAAAGTAGTTTGCCGCGTCCGCGATCGTGCGCGTCGCGCTCGCGAGTACTAAACCGGGAGAATTTTTCTTACCGCCGGGGGAATTACCGCGAAATCTCAAGCAGAAGCCGTTATTATCGCGCGAGCGCGAGCGATGTGACAAACTTCCCTCATCCGCGCGCTCTATGTATAAATCTCGATTTATGCGTTATGGACAGCAAGCCATCGCTCGTGCGTTCGCAGATCGCGAAGCGCGAGATCAACACCGCGCGGAGATTTTGATTGAAACAACCGCGAATGGAAACGGCAGTGAGAAACAGAGAGAGAGAGAGAGAGAGAGAGAGAGAGAGAGAGAGAGAGAGAGAGAGAGAGAGAGAGAAATAACCGCATCGGAATCCGTTTAATTCCCCGCGCGAATTCCTATTGGCGAGCAAGCCGCTCGTCGGAAACGTTACGCGACGCGTTTTCTCCGCGGAGCGGCCGCGCTTTGTTTGGCGATCTTCCGCCGCGAGCTACCCACGTCTTAGACATGAGCGCGGCAAGACAGGGTAGGGATGGCAACGGCTGTGAAAAATTCATGAAACGAACAAACGGAACGGCGTCCTCGCGTCGGCTCAAGACCGCTTTAACTTTCAAATACGGCCCTGACCGCGAAGAGCCTCGCTCTTCGCCGTGGAAATTTTCCGGATTTTCATCGCAGATTAGGGCTCTACTTAGTCGGTGAGAGGAGCCGAGGATCTTTGTGGATTCTCGGGGGGAGGGGGGGGAAACGCGGTAACTGCGCACGAAGTGCGTCATCAACACGTCGACTGAATCGATCGAGCGATTAAGGACGCGCTAAAAAAAATGCAAGTTTCAAAAACGCCCCGAGTCGAAATTTAAGTTCTACTGTGAGCCTTCAAATTCCGTAGGATTTATAGGACTATTGACGGATCTCCGTATCTAAAATTAATATATAGGATGTTGTACTCCTTGCATGCTACAAGAAAACATTTTGCCTTCTTTTACTGCTACAAATCGGTACATATTTCCGTTTTTACCAACTTAAGGTTTAAGGGGGGACATTGAAGTCGTTTTAGAGGCTGAAAGCCTCTAAAACGACTTCAAATCCTATGTCGCGCCTCCAGAACGCCTGCATAACCTGTGCTACAAGCATTTTTAAGAGATATGCAAAATTATTTAATATTCAATTATCTTTTATATTATTCTCTCTACCTAGATTTTATAAAAATATATGATTTATTACAACTTAGGAAGAATGTCAGATACTCGTATTATCATATTTATTAATAATTCAAGTGTCTGGCATTGTTCCTAAAATTTAATAAATTGTATATTTAAAATCTGAAGTAGGGAATATATATATATATAAGATAAAAATGAATATTGAATAATTTTTTTATATCTTCTAAAAAAATGCTTATAGCATAGGGCTTATAACTATATATATATATATAATTAGTCTTAAACATAAATTCTTTTGTGTGAAACATAAACATAATGTTTTTATTAATGTTATTTTATTAATTTGCGTTAATTATTACAAGATATGTTTATTTTATAATGACGGAAAGAATGGCATTGAGTGGACAGAGCAGTGATGAGCAGTTACAGAATAGTTAAAGTAAAGAAATATTTTTTGAAGCTTAATATCGGCTTCGATAGGAACATGAAGTTAAACAGAGTCCAAAAGGCAGCGTTACAAATAATACGGTAGAACTTGTAGCATAGTGAGTATTAACAGCATACAACTTAGTACTAGATAGGCTTATAGCAGATTTTAAATTTCGACTCGGGGAATACGGACATTTTTCGACTAGTTTCATTTTGACTCTCTGCTCGTTTCTAAACTTTTTGGGTGTTTTAGATTTTGTTGTTTAGATGTGCTGTGCTCGATATGCAACGAATTCACCGCTTTCAGTCCCTGTTAGTTCTTATCCAACATCCAAAACGCACGGTTATAAAAATGTGAATAATTTTTGTAATCGCAAAGCGACCATTCGTAGGCACTTGGTAGTTGTAACGTCAACAAGGCGCGGCGGTATGACAATGCCCCGGTCACCGGAGACCCTCCACACGGCATTCAACGTGTCGCCGCTCTCCGTTCACTCGCGCGGCATGCCAATTAGCGCACACATAGATCAGAGATCTCTAGACGTTGGCCCCCGACGAATCGCAAAGAAAGAATGCACCCTAGCTGAGAGTTGCATGTAGCTTTGTTGCATTCACCTCGCTCCGCGCACCTCTGCGGTCCCTGGGACTCCGCGGTAGATCCTCCCCGGCGCCAGCATTCGGCGCTCCTCCGTGCACAATGCGCGACGTCTACGAATTAATTCAATTATATCGTCCACGGCCACGCGGCCACGAGATAACAAATTACACCTGGAGGGCTGGCAGCAATAAGCATGCTTTAGCACCTAAACGTATATGCACCTCAGCGATCTTCCCACAATGCATGGCCAGCACCGTCCGCTCGTAGCCCGCTGCAGCGCCCGCAGCGAGAGAACGTTAATTAGCTCCTTGACCGCGAGCACGCGAGCTTGTCGCACATAATAGCGAGAGGGTGCGTTACACGAGCACGTGTGTGAACAGATTCGCTAGGGAAGGCGGAGATCTACATCATCGTGGCCCTGTTGATCGGCTTCGTCACGGTGGTGATCGGCTGCTGGCTGTCCGACAACTGCTGGTCACCCGAGCCGGAGGGAGTGGTCACCCTCGCATAGCCTAGTGCCGACTTCCGTTCCTCTAGGCGATAACAACTACTACGACGCCCCTCGTACAGGATTCTCCAGGGCCTCGGCCGCTACTCGGATCAACGTAACGCACCCGTGGGCAACGTCGCGAATCACCGACCGTTGCTCGACATCAACGACAATGACACGCTGCTGCGCGTGTGAGCGCGCCAGGGACCTCTTTCTCGCCGCCGAGAGGCGCCTCGGCCGAGAGACGCGTCGTTTTGCCGAGGATCTCGATACCCATTCGCGAATCTCAAAGAGTGTCAGCGGACTCAGGAGCAGAGCTGCTTGTCGAGGAGGAGACGTTCTTGTAAGAGACTCTCGTCTCCCGGGAGACGGAAAGAGAGAAAGAGAGAGTAGAAAGGTAAAGAGAGGTGAAGAGAGAGAGAGAGAGAGAGAGAGAGAGAGAGAGGGAGAGAGAGAGTGAGAGAGAGATCTCCTTATATTCCCGAAACTCGAGCGTGTCTCGTCATTTTCGTAGCCGCGACCGATCAGTCGACGAATCAAACTCTCCCGTGCCAGCGATAATTGGCTCATCATCGGAAATCAGGTGTCGGCGTCGCGACACCTCGCCGTTGACCGAAAAACATCGTTGCTGCGTCGCTGGCGGATGCAACAGACGATTCTTTCGGCGCTGATTCCGCGAACGTGCTAGCTCGTGCACTTCCTTCCTCTCGCGCAGTTGCGGATCCTAATTAATGGAGGAGGACATTTCCGAGCACGATCGACACACACACACATACACACACACACACACTCACTCACTCACTCACACACGTGATCGAGGCAAGTCTGATTTTGAACGCGCACGGTTACCATCAGCGATGTCACCCGCCCGTTCACTGCGGTGTCTCGTGTAATTTAATCGTTAACGCAATTAACGTGTGTAATGTGATTAAATGCGAGCATTAACGGCGTGTCGGACGCACATCGCTATGAAACGCTCGAGATGGATGTCGATATTAAGGCCATTGTCGCTCAGACAATCAAGAGATAAGTTTCAAGATCGGGTTCGGGAGAAGGGGGAAATGGTAGACGGGGAAGAAGGAGGGGAGATAATTAATCCTTCAACCGCGAAGTGGAAAACTGGGATAAGCGCAATTCAGATCTGTCCGGAGACCCGTCTGGCATATCGTGTGGTAAATTCTGATCGACAATTGTATTTGACAGTTGTAATTCTGCAATAACACGATCATTCGATTCGCTGATTAATTATAAACATCGAGACGAGAGAGAGACGAGAGAGAGAGAGAGAGAGAGAGAGAGAAAGAGAGAGAGAGAGAAAGATGTTCGAAGCGAAGTGCCAATTATTTCGACAAAGAGTTTGTTATCTACTATACGCTGTGACCGTCGTTTTCTTATCAATACACAATCGAAAGAAATTCAAGAAATTTTTGCCCTCGAGTTTGCTATTTTTTCCCCTCACGGATCAGAGAATCCTTGCTACTAGCTCAAACGAACTCAGAAGAGTCTTCGCGACTTTTCCTTCTCTTTCACCTCCTTCAGCCGACTGGCCCGCCAAGTCGGACGAAGAGAGGCGATTTTATGAGCCGCGGCGACATCGACAGCGAGTCGTTGGAAAGTGGTGAGTTCGAGCAGGGGCGAGCGAGTGTCAACACTCGAACTCTCGATTCCGAAATCCGGGATCCACGGATTCTCTCGACGCTCGCAAGCTCATATGCGCGCGACCACAGCGACGCGGGCGGCAGCGGGAGAAGCAAGTTCTTATTGCGGTAATACGCAAAGTTACCGCATCGGACGGCGATCGCGGCTGCAAGTTCGTTGCAGCTGCTCGCAAAGTCCAAAATGGGTCAACAGCTTGCCGGTCTACCTGCCTGCTGCTGCTCGCCCCTGCCTGCTCGCCGACGGCCTCGCAACATCATTAAAGTGTATCGCATCGGAACGAGCGGAGAGGCACTCGCGCTCGCCCGATTCTATATGACACACACACACACACACACACACACACACACACTACATACACGTACTTGACACTCACAAAGTTCACACGTACACACAGGCGGCGCAGGGTGGATAATAGCTTCGCCCACATGTCTTAATCATCGCGTTGCGTGTTTATGACGTCACTGCTACGAACCAGCTCCCGCCGGTGTGTGTCGAGAATAGCTCTGACAAGTTAACTCTTGATGAACCCGCGCAATTTTCGCCCGACATTCCCGCGAATCTCGATACCTCTCCGCATTCCGCACCGATTCCGCGATCTAATTGCTCCTCGATCTCCGTTAGCTTCCGAACTTCGTTAGCCGGCATGTCGTTAAGAGCCTGATTCTTTTATCCGCTTGCACTTCTCTGTTTCTAGTCCTTCTTCCTTCTCTTCTTCATTTTCCTCTCGCGTCATCGCTGCTGAAATTCGACGAGTTCTCGTGTGCGATCTAGTATTCGAGCGTCGACGTTTTCTAATTGAACAGATCACGATCACGCTTGATCCGGCGACCTGAAAAAGCCGAGAGAACCGTCTCGGCGCGTTTTCTAATCCGACGACACACCCCCCGATAAGAATTCTTAATGGTCGTCGAGAGTGTCGCTACATCCTCGATAAACTTGTCACACTTTCGCGCACGACTCTCGACTTGTCTCCGCGCTCCTCGGTGTCTCCTCGGGAAACTCGCGCTGAGACAACAAATTCTCAAGCTGCCGAAAAACTTGCGTCTTCTGCGGCTTGAGCCGCACATCTTATCTCCCTCATGGAAACTGCAACGCCGCACACCGGACAAAATCCGCGAAATCAACGATCACAAAGTACGGGTCGGGTGTTATCGATAAGCAGAGAGCGGCGGCACCTGCTGCAAAAATGGCTCGCCCGCTTATAGTTATTTCGCTTCCCTTCTCTTCTCGACGCGCATCCCGAATAACACATCCGAACTATCAACGACGATTCGTCCCTCGATAACTCACAGCTATGCCATAAATCTCCCCCCCCCCCCGCCCCGGGAGTCGGACCCCGTCGGGCTCGTTCGCGTTATTGAGATTTATCATGACCGCAGTTATCAAGCGCTTCGTTACGGAGAGCCGATCAAACATATCTTGGACACAGTATAAGAAAGAACAGTAGGTTCACTCGGTGGCGGTGCTTTTGACTCTCAGGTGCTACAAGACCGCCATGTTATTGATTGGGCGCGGGTTATAATTTGAATGACAATGAATAGTGGCTAAGACAGATTTATTGCTGTTTTTCAATATTTACTGTCAAATCTATAATATACATTATAAAATAATATAAAAATATGAACTATTATTAATATAATATGTTAATAATATTATAATTAATAATATATAGCATATTACTAATCATAATGTAGAAAGATGTATATATGATATATACAGGGTGCTAAATTTCAAACGTAACAGGTAAAAAATCTCGAAAGCTAAATGATATTGAAGTCCGCCTTTTTTTTTTTTATATTGTATTGTTTCGAAGGGAACATATTTTGATTAAAACAAAATTTTACACTTTGCAAATTTAAATTTGCACTTTTGCAGTTTATTATACAACATTTATGTCCACCTCTTTCATTTATTTTACTGATTTTGATAAAACAACAATGTTATATTAAAAATCCGGTCATATCCGGTTAATCGTTGCTTATACTTACACATTTTGACCATTTGAGCCATTGGCCGCCATATTGTTGGTTGTGCAGTTCGGTCATGCGCGACAAACGACTGTTCGCACTATTTTGTACCGAGTGAACCTACTGTTCTTTCTTACACTGTGTCTTGGACGTCGTCGGACCGTCTCTGTCACTCGGCGACAGTTGATTACCGCGTTATAGAGAGCCGTTGCAGCATCTGCCACGGCGAGCGACTCGGTTCGCGATTCACTGTGAACTGTGTGTTAGGGATGAAGGGACATATTGCTTTCACTTGGCGTACTTTGCCACGTGCGCCGCGATTGTTTGCGGGATTAATGAAAACCAATAAACGGAACGCGCGGGCTCGTCGCGCGCTTCTCTTTGATGCCGCGGCACGCGAGTGCGTTTTTGTCACGCGCTTTGTTTCGGAGCGCTCTCCGTTCGCCCTTCGATGCATTTTCGAATAATAATTCCCCCCCCCCTCCGTCGACTCTTCGCTCATTCCATCTCATCGTCTATTTTGTTCTTTTTTTTTTTTAATTTAACTTTTCATCCGATTTCACCGCGGCGGTTTTGCATCTTGCTGTCAACGTTGGAGCGTGCACACATCGAACGATATCGGAATTTTAATTCAAGCAATGTTTTGCGTTGACTTTATGCGGTATATTATTTACTTTTTTTTTCTATATAAGATAACGCTCCGTCGTGCGCGTCCACGGTGGATTTAGCACTCGCGCTTTTGTGCCGCGGGAAATTAATATCGGCGCATACATTGGAGACGCGCTCGGTATCGCTCGTCAATGGAGTCGTTGTAACGGCGATAATGTCTGCTCACGAGAACCCGTTGCATTCGCGCATAAAGCGCGAAACTTGTTCCCGAGATAGAACCGTACGATCGTAGTTTCCGCTACGCGGTTTTATCGGCGAGCGCGCGCCGGTGAAATCCGGTTAGCGAAAAAATTGTAGACGCAGGCAACAAGAAGGTATGGACGAGTCGCTCGATATGGAATCCGGATCTCTGCTACATCTCAAATCGACCGAGCGTCGGGTGCTCGCAATTAAGCCGCGCGAGACGAGGCATATGGGAGTTTCGCCGAGAAACGCGATGTTTCTCAACTTCGGTGCGTCGCGACGTAAGAACTTGATCTCTCGCCCCTCCCCCCTCCCTCCGACAACCGATCAAACACACGTCAGATTTTTCCCGCAAAAATCGAGCGATCGAGCGACTCTGTGACAAGTCAATCAATTAATCAATTAACGAGGTCACATCATGAACGCTGAGGGAGGCACCGAAAGACCGATCGGGAAACTTTTCTACGAGAGGAGACATTCGAAGTCGACGAGAACTCGCGGAAACGAGCCCGCTTGAATTCCCATTCGCGCGCATTTCCCGGTAGCGCAGTCGAGGATTTTCACGCGAGTTTCTCG